CATAGACATCACAGAGAGGGAGATTTATAACTGCTACTGTACTCTCCCAAGTCTGGAGAGTAAATGTTGTCCTGCTGCCTGTGCACACAGTGTGCTTTTCAATTGCACAATGGCAATGGAAGGTTGTCTATGATGTTACAACCACTGGTGATGTCAGTAATGATAAATCTTATACGCAGTAAGTTAATAGTCTTGTTATCCCAAGAGAGTGAGAAGGGTAGAAGAGGTTGCACTTGGAAAGGTTTCTGGAATATTAGGAATGGGATGAACTGAGGCTAGGCATGCAGGAAGGATTTGGGTAAGGAACAGGTTCAGCTGGGGGCGAATGACTCTGAAAAATAAGCTTCTTCTGAGTAGTATGTAATGATAAGGGGACTGGGTTAGAGACATTCACCAGTACGAGGATATGGGAAGAAAGTCCCTTATTTCCACAACCTTCCAATCCCTTTCTGCTGTGCCCCATCCCTTCCTATGTTAATGGAAATCATGGAACTGACCCAGTTTACCCTCTGTGAGATCCCCTTCCCCTCTTTTTGCCTCCTCTTGTGATACCAAACCATTGGCATTCTGGACAGTGATGGGTTTGGATTCAGGCTGCAAAAATGCTTTTGTGTTCCCCAAGTTTTTATAAAATGTCTCCTCCATAAACAATGAATTCCCAAAGCTCCAAGGAAGGGTTGAAAGAGCTCCCATGATCCATCCCCAAGGGCCCAGAATGCTTTTGACCAACCAGTAGCTGACAAGAGCCCACATTCTGGCACTTCCCTAGAGAAAAAAAGTAGTAGGAAAATATCTTTTTGTTTTACACAAACATTTGCATTTTTTTCAGCCATCACCAAGAGGAAAAAGGTGGCCAACAAAGACAGGGGGAAAAGGGGCAGGTCAGGTGTTAGGATAATTTGTCACATTTTATGCTTTAAAATTGCACCTATTTGTAGAGTGCAACAGCTTTAAAATTGCACCTATTTGTAGAGTGCAACAGCTGAGATTGGGTGAGATCATTGTACTAAGTGTTTTCCTCTCTCTGTATATAGAAACTGATACGATAATGTTTGTTGCATTATTAAAGTTAGACTTTAATTTTAGGACACTGAGTTGTCTGTGTTCCTATTTCACGTTCCATTTCAGGGTTAATTGTGCTTTAACAATCCCTAAGCATTATCTGGTGGAAAGTGATGCTTACATAGGGAATCATTCTCTTCTCTGTACACAGTCTTTTTGTGGCACAGGATAATGCCCCTTTGGTGGGAGATTATTTCCTGACAAACATTTCCTTCCTCAGAAGGAGTTTGGGCACAACCATTCCAGGGTCCTTGAGCATCAGCCACTGCACATCAAGGGAGGCCAAGCTGCAGGCAGATGGTAAATTGTTGGTGGAGGGCAGAAGGGGCCCTGACAGAGGCTTATGATTTGTGTAGTGGAGGACAGAGCGGCTTGAGATTGGGATGATAAGAAACCCCAGGTAGAAGAGGAGGCTGTGATGGGCACCTGTCACTGCAGGGGGAAGGGGCTAGAGTCATAGAAGGGGGAGCAATAGTGAAAGGTCAGGGCAGGTCAGGAGCTGGTATAAGGAACTGGGACAAGGCAGAGAAAGAGAAGGGGGCACAGCAACAGGGAGAGACAGAGAAAGACTGGGAGGCATGATATCTTCTTTTTCAGGGCATCCTAGGTGCTCACCCCAGCTTGCTTGAGCACCAGGAATCTGGTCATTGTGCTTCTGTGTCCCAGGAACAGAGTCAGGTCCTCCAAAGGTCCTGCATGAGTCCAGATGGCAGGAAGTTTCCCCTGCCATTGCCTCAATATGGCTAGCACAGTGTCAAGGCACAGATGGCAGGAGCCAGGAGCCCTGAAATTCCCCATGAGCCAGGTAATAGGGCAAGTTCATCACAGGGAAGGTGTAACAAGGTGTACTTTCAGAGGTGGTCATGGTGCCCCCGGGTGGTCACACTATACTTGTCTTCCTACTTTTGTTCCCCAGTTTGGCTTTGCCCTCTTACTTGTCATGTCTTGATATTTGAGTTCATATCCTATTTTAGGAAGCTGCTTCAGAGAACTTGAGTTCAGCCACTGGCATCTTGGTTCACCCAGCTCATCGTTAGGCTGCCGGTCTGCCCAATGCTCACACCCTGACCTGAGAGAGTCTCTCTCTCTCTCTCTCTCTCTCTCCCTCTACCTTCTCACTCTGGTCTGGGCCCCTGGTCCTGCCTTTAGGTTCAGCTCCATGCAGACTTCAGCCTGCTGTTTCAATCTTGCTGGGCCCTTGGCTTTGCCTGGGCTTCAGCCCCTCGCCCCAGGCTACAGCTGCTCACAGCCCACCAAAACGCTGCAGGGCCCTATCTGGGCTTAGCCACTCATAATGCAGAGTATCACCCAGACACCGTACCCATGGCCTCTTCCTCCCCTTTAAGACACATCAAACCTCATGGTTAACACACAAATGTTTCATTTCCATTTGGGGGTTTATCTCTTTGTATACGGCTCCCTGCAGAACCCCTGCACTTGTGAGAATCTGGATCAGATTGTTCTCCTAGCCCTATGCTTATGAGGGCTTACATGGCCCTTGACTCCTCCCCCTTCAGTCACCTGACCTGGCTCTCTGCAACAAACAAATAAACCCAACCCCCCTGTCTTTTTCCAGGCATTAGGAGGGAGGCAGTTTTAGGTCTGCTCTTCTCTTCAGCACAGCGGCCTGCCGTCTCCTTCCAGCCCTCCCTTCCTGGAGTCCTTAAGCCAACCTGTTACCCACTGGGTGCCTGCAGCTGGGTGCTGAGCCCTTGAGGAGCCGAGCACCTGCTTACACATCCTCCCACTCAAGAGTAGAGTCCAGGACACACTCTTCCATGTCTAGCTTCCACGTCCCTCAAGGGAGAGGAAATCTGCATTTGTGTGTCCTGTGGTAGCATGGCGACAGATAAAGAAGGCATATGGTAACAACAGATACGATCATGGCAGATTAGGGCTGGCCTCCTGCATGGCACGAAGCCATGTTAACAGGGCATGGCTGGTGATGAGGGCCTGCAGGGGATAGTAACAGAAGGTTTCAAGTGACCACTTCATTGTAAAGCCCTTTTTCTTAGTGTAACAGTTGCACAACTCACTGGGCTGCAAGCTAAGTGGGCATGCTGTGCTTAAGAACCTTTGCAGAAAGGGTGGCAAAATGCTTGCACAGGGTGCCATGATTTCCAGGGAGGAAAGTATGCTGTGCACCATGCATGCTTTTTATTGGATCATTTACACTGTGACCAGATCCCCTGTTGCAGACTGAGGGCTCTGATTGGCTGTGTTTGCACCATAAAACAGCCAAAAAGCAGGAAAAGAGGGAGAGAAGAGGATCCAATCCCAGTCTGGAGAGAAGGGGGAGAGATGCAGTCTCCCTGTCACTGGAATGGGAACTGAAACTTGCTCAGGGAATAGAGACCAGGATGAGGGAGAGCCAGTGGCGACATGTAGGGGGTGTATGGAGGTGCACATGTACCCCCTGATGTACCCCCTGAGACCACTGGTGCACCCCTGACAGCCAGTGCTCCTTGGTTAAGCTATGGGCAGTTGGGGGGGACAGGTGGGAACGCCGGTGCTGGCCAGGGAGTGAGGGTGCCAGGAGAAGAGCCACTGGCACTTTTGGAAGCACCGTTCGTGCTTCCAGGTCGGTGCGATTGGCCATGTGGGGACCTACTCCCCCCCGTCGGTGAGATCGGCCGCATGGTGACCCCCCCATCGCTGACTGGTTGCTGGGGGGGCATGTGTCCCCCCTGACCCAGGAGGCACCAGCTGCCCATGAGGAGAGCCTGTGTTGCCCCACGAGGAGCCAATTTCCCCACCGGGTGTGGTTCTGTGCAGCTTCAGGACACAGGTACCTCTGGGGAAGTGGGGAAGGGAATGGTCAGCACAAGTGGGTAGGCCAGCTAGGAGCTGGGAGATGCTGCTGGGTCAGAGACCTGCGGGAGGGAGCCCTGTCTGGGCTAGGAAGGCTTGTGGAGGTGCAGCAACCAGGACCTGGTGGGGGGTGTAAGAGCTGGCTAGGAGGGGAGACAGCTCCAGGGAAGGAGTGGGCACAGAAGGTACAAACCTTGTAGGAGTGTAAGGGGACTCTTACAGAGTTTGCAGGGGGTATATTTCAGGAGGAATAAAAGGAAGCCATTTGCCTGCATCAAGCTTGTCTCCAGGTGGCCAGTCTGAAGGTTTTGAGAGTTCAGAGTCCTGGGAGCCTCAGGAGCCTTGTCTCTGCCATCCAGTGGCAAATCATAGTAATAACTGCAGAGATGTGGGTTTTCCGGAAAATTTTGAATTGGAAAATTGGCAACTTCCGGAAAATTTTCCAGTGCCCTAAATATAGAGCGTGGTCTGATTTAGCATCTTTATTTAACTTATATTTTAGTAAACAAAACTAAAAAAGTACCCCATGCTAATTTTATGTCCCAGTAGCCACAAGTATTTGACCTGAAATATTTGATTAGGAAAAAAAATTAGATACAGCACACTTAGTATGATTTAAATGTTATAGTCAGAGAAATTCAAAGCTTTATGTGGAAAGAAATCAGTTTTATTGGAATACTTGTAAAAATGTAAAGACAATACACAATAGCATGTACTTACATTGTTTGTTTAAATTTAAGGAAAAAAAACAAAAGGCACTAAAAACTGGTGACACACTAATTTCAGTACACCCAAAGAGCTGTGCATGACATGCCGTGGTTGTCCACTCATCTATTTCAACAGAGTTTAACTCTTTTCCACTGAGGTCATTGCGGCAACTCCAGTTTCACGGTCACTATCTGTAGAATCGCCTGCACTACTTATTAGTCCCATGTCAGAATCAGATTGAGGCAAAACTGATTCAGAACTACTTGAGCCACATTCTCCTTCACTAAAGGATGGTTTTACCAATGAGTCTATGGGCAAGGGCAAATTATCATCACACTGCATTGTCTTCACTAATTGTGCTTCTGACTCTCCAGAAGCAAGAGATTTTGAGAAATAGAAACCAGCTTAGCAGCGCGTTCATTTGTTAGTCTATTCCTCTTTTGTCTTGATGGAGCTGAAAACCTTCCAGTTCTGTTCACAAGAAGCTGCTGTTGGGGGAATGCTTGGGATCCTTCGAGCAATCCTGGACAACAGGCGGGTGTTACAGTATCCCTTCCACCGTGTGAGAGGAGACGTATTCTTTGCTGCCTGCCAAATCATGTCTTTGCTCCAAAGTTTTTCTTTTGTGCGGTGCTCGGCAATGTCTGTCATCACAGCTATTTCGTTGATATTGGGGATGTTCTTAGCTACTTCCATAATTGTATTGAGAGCAGTAGATGATTCATCTTCTGATAAATGTTGTCCCCTGGTGTTGAGGATCCAAAAGTTTCGCTGCCAGATGAACTGGATGAGAGCAAAACTCAGACCTTTTAGTAAACACGTATTTTACTACTACTACTTTTTTGGATAGAAATGAAGTAGGCAAAAGATCAATTAGATTTTCACTCAGTTGTCTGAATATCTCTGGAATATTTGAAAGGCTTGGTGCATCTCCTTCAAGTTTCTGGATAGTCAGTGAAACTGGTAGTAGCAAATTGAATGCTCCGTGAACTCGAACCCAGAACACATTGTTATCGAGAATCTGCTTCTGAATGTTCATGGGAATAATCTGGGATACTGTGTCATCTCTTGAAGCACACTGAAAACAGTATGATGTGCACAGCAAACTATGTAAACACTGTGGAAGAAATCAAACTTTGCGTTGTGGTTGAATCAGAACTGACAGAGCCAGCTTTTCTTTATTTAGGGCTATACTGTGATCACAGGGAGAATTCCACACAGCAAGCGGAATCACCCACTTGTCTGTTTCAAAGGATTTCTCAGACTCTCTAAGGTTACAAGCGTATTTATACTTAAGACAGAGAAAGACATAAAAAAATATACCTTGGAGAAACAAAACAATAGTAAATTACACAGAAACTTAGAAAGTTTTACTTAAACAAGCTATCTGTGTATAGGGCAATATATCAAGATAACCCAAGGAATGTAGGAATACGGATTCCTTATCTCAGAGCAGTATCAGTACATCTGGTCTTTGTCTGTTTTTCTAGTCAAGTAAGCTAATTACTTCTACAACACTTTGTAGCCAAGCCCCATCTAGTTTTTCCTGGCAATAAAAGTGCACTTTCCTTCCCCTGCTTCTCTTTCCATAATTTCTTAAAAGTCTGATTAACAACATGAGGATTGGTGAATACCTTCACAATTGCTTTGTAATTTGCCAATATGTCTTCATTGTATTCACACTTTCTGTCCTTTGCCAGAAGATTCAACCCATGAGCAATGGAAATGGAAAATTTCCCACAGAAAAATAAAGCACTGGAAAATTTTCTGAAAAATTTGCTGCCCCACGTGTCTGAATAACTGTTGCCATTTATTGCAATGGGAGTGGATTTTAACCTTAAGGGGGACTGTTTTTTTCAAAAGGTTATAACTAGGTGAATGTAATTGTTGGGGCTGTGAGACACAGGTGGGGCCCTCTCCCCCCTTGTGGGTTGGAATTGTTTATTTAATATTGCATCTGTAGATTGTATTCAAGTGGATACACCCAATGGGAAACACCCAAACATAAATTTAAGTAGATGTTTGCTTCCCCAGGAGCAACAAAATGCTGTTACTGATGTAACCCTCGCTGGCATGCTAGGCCAGGCGATATGCCAGATTCCAGATCCTCAGGGTGCTAGTGCCCCTGGGAACCCCCTCAGGCACGTCAGCTGACTGAAGTGACCCATGAAGAAGGGTGTCCCAAGAATTTACTCTAAGTCCAACAAACATAGATTTCATAGACATAAGGGCTAGAAGGGACCTCGGAAGATCATCGAGTCCAGCCCCCCGCCCAAAGGGCAGGAAGTCAGCTGGGCTCATAGGATCCCAGCAAGATAAGCATCCAATTTGCTCTTGAAGGTGTTCAATGTAGGTGCTT